GATAGGAAGACTAACTAGATTTCGATAAATCTTCTGAGAGAACAATGTTTGGTACGCCTTCATTTCGTATAAAAGTGTATGACTTTGAAACGACATTCAAGTCAACGCAGTCCACGAGACATCCTCTTTCATCATTAAGCCTTGATGACCAGATTCTGACATTAGCCTTTTTTGATCACTCTCACCAGTATTGCATATAGACGGCCACATGCACAAATACATACACACGCTCGAGCAAAAATAGACGGAGCAGTTCAAATATAATTATCCAAACTATTCTATATTCATCTATACTTGTTTATTTTCGTTTTGGGTTATGAGTATACGTAAGAAGTAAGATAGAGTAGGATAGCCTTCTTGAACTGGTGCTATTAATGTGAGACTTTTACAAAAATTAGTTCTAACCCTGATGATTTCCGTCATTTGATGAACTAAAGCTCAACCTTAAAGGTATGAAGACCAAGATGGTATGGCCTTTTGTGTGTTCGTAGTATCATTTCGTTGTATATAAGTTGTTCGACCTTGTTTTCGCAAGTTGGTCATATTGGTAGGAAGACTTAGAGGAACGCACACAATCCGGAGTCCATTGTATGCATCATCATTTCCAAAATTGAACCATTGACGTGGTTCATTCCCAGACGTTTCGCCGGCATCGTCAGTGAGTATCGCCATTCTTAGCACCACACAGCAACTCGTCAAAGAGACAAGTGAAGCCGATCCTCTGACCAAATGTGTGCTAAACAGTTGTGATATCTCCCCTTTGTCATGGGCTGTTCACACTTCCTATATCCTCTAATCACACCTTCGATATTACACTTTTTACTGTGCTTATTTAGATGTAGTGTGGTGTGCTCCATTGACTTTGGAAATGATCATGCATACAATAGACTCCGGATTGTCTGCGTTCCTCTAAGTCTTCCTACCAATATGGGAGGAATGTATCGTGGACTGCGTCAACCTGAACGGCTGGAGTACAACGTGATTCAGCCTTCGTCTTCTGGTGAGATCAACCTACCAATCTCTCCATGAACTTCCATACAAAATGAAGATCTCCCCCTAATAATCTACTTTTTCTCAAATAGGATAGACAAAATGCCTCTAGTTCATTCCGAACTGAGTGGACATGCCGAATTTATTAGGAGATCATCAAAATATTTCTCATCCTCTCTTCTCTCTTGTTAGCTCAGCCAATTCCAAGCTCCTTATCCCGACCCTTCTCGATTTCGACTCGATTCAGCCTACTTGACTTGACCAAGGACAAAGAGCACTCTCCGATAGCTGCCAGGACATCTCAGGCCCACACTATCTTCTTCCGAATGGGCGCATTCGGTCTTTGACTCTTCGCAGTTTCCTCGTCGAGGAAGCATTAGCAATATGTGCTCCTCCCGAGGCGATTTCATGGCCTCACCAATCACAAGCCTTTCAGTCTGCAAAAGAGTAATAAACAACCATGCCAATTTACACCAATGAACTGCATTATACCTGTCCCCAACGAGATACTCCAGGTTAGAGGTTTCGAATACACCTTGAACATAAGCAAAGTCAAACATTTCTTTATTTTATCGGATGCATTTACCCTTTTTCGTTAAATGTGATATGGGGGTGGGAGTTGAATTTCCCCACAATACTATGAATAGGCCTTATGCATCCAGTGAATTTCGCATAGCCTTAATCGAAGATATGAAGACCAAGATGGTGTGGCCTTTTGTGTGTTCGAAGTCTCCTTTCGTTGGATAGAAGTTGTCTG